TCCCTTTGAAGTTCTTCTGTTTGCATTATTTACTCTCTTTCCTTGTGTTCTAATTCTTCCGCCTTTAGGATTTTGATGTCTTTCATTGTGAAGGTTTTCCTTAAATCTTTTAACAGTAGTGGTTTTGTCTTTTATCCAGTTTGTCTTAGACCTCTGTTTGCCAGCCTGTATGTGCTATTTTCTACAGCCTGTTTCTAGTGATAAAGGAGGAGGGTTGGAATGTACGGCCAGAGTGGCTTCTATCTGTCTTCTGCTTTAGTGTTCCCCATCTTCCCTGGAATATTCAGCTTCCTGAGGCACTGCTCCATGTTTCCAGCTCTGGGTCCCCACTCACTGCTTGAGCCTCTTGAGGCTATGGGCAAGTATACTTCATAAGCAGAGGAGGGGGAAGAGGCGAATTGACTCACCAGCTCCAAATGCACCTTCCAATTTAATGGCTCCAACAAATCATTTAAACATCTTGTATCTGTTGATTTTGCACAGGGAGCTCCTTTAATCGTGTGTTCTCCAGGAGTTTTCTCCTGAATTTATGAGTTCTACTTGCCACAGAATTTGATCTTCATAAAGTCAATCCTATCTGTCTCTATCTGCCAATAATCCCCTGAACTTTTAGGGTTCTGGTGGTTCCATATAATAAAGACAAAGAGTAAGCCAGTTCTGTTTTATAAAATCATAATCATGTTTATTTTGTTGCTATGTCAAATTTCTCCCATTGGCCCCTGATTATTTTTAGTTTGAAACAAGATAAGGGGAAATCAGATGATTTGAGTATCTCATTTCTGGTCCACCGACACATTCAGTATGTTTCATTATTTTTTTTTTTTAAATTCTCAACCTCACTTAGAGCTATGATTAACGTAGATTTGCAAAGGAATTAGAACAAAATTAGAAAAATCTCTTCTGCAATAGAACTTAAGAAATGCATCTTAGTATTAATAATTTTTTTTAGTAATTCCTTTCTTCCTTGAAAGACTAAATCCTAAAGGAATAAAGTTCCCTAAACTAATAATAATTGGAATTTCAAGTCTGGAGAAGTCTTCTGTTGTGATGGTTAGTTTCATGTATCAACTTGGCTAGCCCATGGTGTTCAGTTATTCCCCCAACCAAACGCTAATTTAGGTGTTGCTGAGAAGGCGTTTTGTAGATACAGTTAACACTGACCATCAGTTGACTTTAAGTAAACATTACCCTTGATAATGTGGGTGGGCCTCATCTAATCAGTTGAAAGGCCTTAGGAGCAAAGCAGCAGCAGAGCCTTCAGCTCCTACCCGAGTTGCCAGCCTTCCAGTCTGCCCTACTGACATCAGATTTTAGAGTGCCCACAATCACATAAACCATTCCATGAAATACATCTCCATATAAATATGCAATATACTACTTCATTACCTCATATACATATAAAAATATAAATAAATCTCTCCTCTATATAATTCTCCATTTTTATATAAATATAGACATAAATAAAAATTTATTTATTACGAGCTCTATTTCTCTGGTAGAACCCTCACTGACACATGGGGTGGCGGTCCTTAGGTCTTGAAAGAGAGTGAAAAAAAACTTGCAAGTATAAAAGTGTGGTGTGTATGGTTAGGATTCCCTATCTTTACAAAGTTCCTCTCTTAAGTATTTTTTTAATATAGGCCAGTTAACTCACTGGCTAAGTGACTGAGAAAAAAGAAACCTTCTAAGCAAGAAATTCCTGTTCAACAAAAATTCTTCAGCTCTGAGAAATAATTCTGACTGATATTCTGACATTTCTGAGGGTATCTTTGCTAATTCTCTGTTGGCAGCCCTGGCGGCCACAGCCAGAATCACTTTCCATTGTCATTCCCACCCCCACGGTGCCCACATCCCTACCTTCCTCCCTCTCCTCCCTCCTCCCCCACGACTAACATAATTCTAACATAATTCGGTACTTTGAAACTTCAATGGCCTCCTCCCAAGATGGTCTAAGCATAAAAGCAATTGCCTCAAACTACTTCCAATTAATTGTGCTCCTGGCCACACATTTTTCTTCCCAAGTTCCATTCTTTTTAAACCCCCCAGCTGACATTCCAGTTTCCAGTTTTACTGTTTTTCTCCTTGAAATATTTAAAAGCAAACCAAGATCATAAATAGATGATAGATAGAGGCAAAAAAAAAAAAAAAAATGAACAACTTTCCCTTCCCCTACACACAAACACACATGATAGATTTTAAGAAACAACAAACCTGATTTCAAATAGTCTGCCCTGTTGTGCCTATAAATACTCTTCTGCTGGTCAGATAGATGATTGGACATCTTCTTCATCAAATATGTTTACCATCAGAGTAACCTTCCCATTGGCAGTTTAAGAAAGCACAGCTTTGGTATCTTTAAGACATTCTTCTCATTCTGATTTTTCTGCAAAACATGTGTCTGAGGGCTTGGGGAAAGAACTGAAGTATCCGGCGTGCAGAGGGGTCAGGCAGACTGTTGGAATTGGCAGAATAAAAGAAACTGCATTCCCAGCATTTTCCCTCTATAACCCCACTTACATACAGCACATACTGTATGACCTTACTGGTTGCTGAAACAAGCATGATATATATCACTTTTACAAAAGTAGTTTTACAAAAAGAGAGTTTGATCTATTTAGAGAATGTAAGAGAATGGGTTTTAGAATTATTGATTGTGTACTAATTTGTATCAGTCTACTAGTTGTTGAAATAATCTTTGAGAGAGACCCACCCCCCCAAGATAATATTTGTAAATCTGTGTTTGGGTGGAAACCAGCTCCTTAGGGGTTCCTGGCTGGCTCAGTGGGAGAGTATGTGACTCCTGATCTCAGGGTCAAGTTCAAGCCCCCCATTGGGTATAGAGATTACTTAAATAAATAAACTTAAAAAAAAAAAGCTCCTTAGACAGCATTTCTGTACCGTTTTACTCTAACTGCTGCAAAGCAATACTTTCTTCTTTAATTTTTGGTGGAGGATAGGATAAGGTAGAATATCTCAACATGATTCTTATAACACAAGAATTTTTCCTGTGTTATAAATGTAATTCAAGTTCAGCATCTCATGATGTAAAAAATTATGAAATATAAGAAAGTAAAAAAGAATTCAGTACTCATAGTCTGACTACTTAGAGGTATTTTAATATTGATTGCATCTTCTTCCTCTGTTCAATCTCTTACAGTTCATAACTCAGAATATACTGAATATACCTCTATATTCCATGTTTTTATTTCAAAATTACAGTACTTATCCCAGTATACACTTCATAGTTAATTTTTATTAGCTGAAAATATTCTTTCCAGTGGATCAACTATAATTAACCATTTCCCTACCATTTTTTATTTAGACTGTCTTTACTTCTGATATTATAACATCAGTGCCATTAATATCTTGATGTTGTAGGGAAAACAAAATTTCACTTCTACCCTCTCAGGGTGTCTGGGTGGGGATGAGAGTTAAAATGACAGAATATAGATTAACAGGGGAAAAGCAAATACATTTTCACATGTACACAGGAGCCCCAATAGGAAAATGAAGACCCAAAGAATTGGCAAAACCTTAGTGCTTTTATCCTAGGTCAGATGAAAAGAGGCAATTGGGGAAAAAGTAGCTGAAATATATGAGGAGACCAAAGGAAGGTAAAAGTTACTTTAACAAGTGCTGTTTCTACAGAATTCTCTCTCCTTGGGCTTCCTCCTAACCCCCCAATCTCTGTTGATAAGAATGTTTCTTTCTTCATGGTACAGGGAGGGCAGCTTTCAACATTGAAGTTTTATCCCCAGCTTTCAAGAAAAGGGGAGATCAGAATGCCCTTTTTGCGACTGGTGTTTTTCAAGTGCCTAGAGCTCAAAATAACCCTCATGCCATATTCCGGGGTGGCACATTCTGCCACCCCTCGGGGTATATACAATTCTATTCCTTAGGATAGATTTCTCCAGAAATGGAATTGTAGTGTCAAAGGGAGAAGCTATTTGTTAAGCCTTTGACACATAAAAGACAATATTAAAAATCAAAGAATGTGCTATTTAACGATCGTCTTTTTTGTTTGAGAAGGTCCTTTACTTGATGATGTGCTTTTTGCCGCTTTCATAAACTTAGAGGATGAAGGCACCTTCACTCCGTTTTGCTAATGAGGGGCTCTGTCTCCCTAGGACGACTCACGATCAGATTTTAGTGGTTTCCTAGAGATGGCCCGAGAACACATTTCCATTACCTGTGGTAACTGGGGATTTATTTCACATGAATAATTTAGCGTGTATGTGGCCAACCACCAAATCTTAGTTTAGGTCATCACTTTCAATCCCTCTTCTCCCCCAGTACTAAGAAAGACCTCATGTTTCCAATTCGCCCTGGCCTGTGGCGAAAGTCCTAAGGAACGGTGAAGTAGGAATCAGGCCTTGGGGATTTAGAAATGGAGTCTGAACTAAATCCAAGGCCGTCCACTAATGTGCAGGGCTGTCACCCTCCACCATCCTGCCTTTCCAGCCTCTACTTCAGCGCCAAAGGGGCGGGACTTCACGTTTCCGAGCAACCGCCTGCTGTCTCCCGATTGGCTGGCCGCCGCACGGCCGCCATTTTCAAACCCCGGAAGATGGCGGCGTTGGTGGCGGCGCCCTCCTGACAGGAACTGCTCTCCGGGCAGAAGTGGTCGGGCGCGGTGCCCGTCCCAGCGGGTCTCCCGGGCACCCGGCCACCGCCCCACCCCCACCCCCCCTCCGCGCCATGGAGCCCGAGCTGGCGGCCCAGAAGCAGCCCCGGCCGCGGAGGCGAAGCCGCCGGGCCTCCGGGCTCAACGCGGACGGCGCCGGGGGACCTTCGGCCGACACCCCCAGGCCTGAGCTGGACGGCCGGTAAGCGCGGGGGGCGGCAGCGACGTGGGGACCCGGGCGTCCGGTCAGAGGCCGGACGGGGAAGGGGGGAGAGAGGGGAGGGACGCGGGGAGGGACGCGGGGAGGTGCGAGCTGCTCACCTCCCTCCTCGTCCTCCAGACCTTCCTCAGGCAGGGGCGCGCGCTCTTTACTCACCTCTTCATCCTCCTCCTCCTCCTGTTCTTCAGGTGGGGGCGCGGGCTGCCTACCCTCTTCCTCCTCCACGTCCTCCTCCTCCTCCTGGCCTTAGCCGAGGGCGCGGACTGCTGACCCTCCTCCTCCGGGCCCTTCTCAGGCGGGGCGCGGGTTGCTCCCCCTCCTCCTGCTCCTCTCTTCCTGCACTTCTTCCTCTTCCTCCTCTGGCGGGGGCGCAGGCTGCTCCCGCCCCTCCTGCTCCCGCCTCCCCCAGGCGGCAGGCGTGGGGGGCGGCGCAGGCGGTCGGAGGTGGTGGGTGGGTTCTTCACCCGCTGCCGGGCCAGGGCTGCCGCGGGAGCGGGTCCTAAATGCGAACCGGGAGACTGAAACTGGCCTGTAGCCTGCGGGCGCCGAGAAGAGCCTTCGTCACTGGAGCCGGACGACTTGTAACAGGCACGAAACTTTTAGCCTGAAAGCGAGCGTTCACGTGAAATGTCTTGCGGGACGCCAGAATTCTTGTTTTCGAGAACTGGCCACGTTGGGGAACCGAGCACAGCTCCCGGTTCCAGCCTCCCGGGTGAAGAGATGGCAGAGGATGGCCGCTGACTTTTTCACTGTTAACACATTTCACATTCTGTCTCGTGTGTCTGGAAAGGGTGGGCACTGGAGGGTTTCAGAAGGCTGTGTCTGGAAGAGGAGCGCTGTAAAGAAGTACGGAGAACTTCGCTTTCCCATCACACTGTTGGAGGTGGTAGGGTCCAATGACTGCGTGTCGGACCTTTCATCTCTAAGGCTATGTTCTCATCTGTACCATGGGTACTATAACAGTACCCCCTTCCTAGAAATGGTGAAATTTAGCAAGATGATGCATGTACCGGGTGTACACAGTACCTACACAGAGAGCTCTCGACATAAGTTAACTGTTATTTGTTGGTTTTTACCTGTTAGAATTCCACGTCTCATCATTTCAGAAGTCCCTATGGTCCATTTCACATATTGCTTTGGGCAAACTACAGTCGCTTACATACTCCAGTTATACCTGGATGTGCTGATCCCTTTTGAGAGCCAGGACACCTTACTTACCAGGAAGGCATTTATAAACCCGTTGTTAAGTTACTCTGCAGAAATCTAGGGTTTTTTTCATTAGAAACTGATTTTTATTATTTTGAAGTTTAGGGTACTCCTTGTCTTAATATACCTTTGTAAAATCTTTGTACTGATTCCAGCTTCTATTTAAGAGGTAGTGAAAGAGCAGAGAGAAAAAAGTCAACTCAGACTGAGAGATGGAAAGACTGGCTAAGGAAAATAGAATTTCAGAAATATCAAACAGAGGCAGTGTTAAATTCATTCTACATTCATTCCGTAATACTGTTGAGCACCTTCCAGACATTGTTGTAGATATGGGAATTCTGGTGAATAAAATAGATGAAGTCCCTGTTCTCATGAATCTTAAATTCTGATGGGGGAGAAAGACAATAATCAAATATATATAATATCAGGTGGCCATGCTGTGAAGAGAATTAAGGCATGGATAGTCATAAGGAAAGGGTAGTGTTGCTGGGTTTTTTTTTTGTTTTTTAAGATTTTTTTATTAGAGAGAGAGAGAGAGACAGCAAGAGAGGGAACACAAGCAGGGGGAGTGGGAGGAGGAGAAGCAGGTCTCCCGCTAAGCAGGGAGCCCAATGCGGGACTCCATCCCAGGACCATGACCTGAGCTGAAGGCAGACGCCCAGTGTTGCTGTTTTTAAAAGAGCAGAAGGAAAAGCCTCTCTGATGATGACATTTGAGATCTGAAGAAATTAAGGAACTAAGCCATGTGAATATTTGGAGAGAGGGGCAGCAAGTGCAAAGGCCTTAAAGTAGAATCTCATTTGGTGTGTTTAAGGAACTGCCAAGAAGCCAAGCCGAGTGGAGTGAAACAAAGGGAAGAAGCGCAGAGGATGAGGTCAGAGAGATGGCTGGGGCAGATGATGCAGTACCTGGGAGACCATTGAAATGACTTTAAATTTAAATTAGTTGGGAAGCAAGAGGAAATGATGTGACCTATATTTACAAGGACCACTGTGACTGTTATAAGCAGAGACCATTTAGGGAGGGTTTTGCAGTGGAGACATATCAGAGTGGGAGATGTGGAAAATATTCATATTTGGGATGTGTTTGAAAATAGAGCTGACAGAATTTGCAGATAGATTAACTGGAGTTAAGAGAAAAAGTGGAAGGATCACTGAGGTTTTTGGCCTGAGCACCAGAAGGATGGGTTATATTCTTCTCAGAAGGAAGACTATGGGAAAAGTTTGCTTTGGGGTAGGTTATGAGACTCTTATTAAAGAGTTCATCACAATTTTTTTTCTTTTTTTTTCAATTGAAGTATACAACACAGAATGTTTTATTAGTTTCAGGTGTACAGTATGGTGATTCAGCAATTCTATACATTATTCTAGTCATTACCCTCTTTTTTGCTTTTTTTTCTTTTTTTAACCTCTTATTGAACTATAAAACTTGAATGAAAGAGTGCATAAATCATAAAAGTTTAGCTCAGTTAAATTTCAGAAAGCAAACCCACCTGTGTAACCAGATATAAATTTGAGAGTTGTGAGCATATAGACTTGAAATCATGGAACTGGGAAGTCATCTAGATAGTGAGTATAAATAAAGAAGAGTTTGAAGACTAACTCCTGAGGCACTCCCAACATTTTAAGGTCAGGGTAAAGAGGATACTTAGAGGGAGCAGCTGGTGAGGTAAGAAAATCAAATAAGAACAGCATCTAGGAGGGCAAATGAGAGGATTTCAAGAAAGAGGATATAGTAGACTATATCAAATGTTACTGATAAGGAAGGACAAGAAAGTTTAAGTTAGATAAGAAATAAAAAGACCATTAAATCTGGCAATCATAGACTAGTTAAAATACTGAATTTAGAATGTTTGCAGGGTTTGTGAAGAGAATGAGGTATGATTTATTAGGAAACATGTAAGACACTAGAAATAGGAGATGGAAAATACTATCCTTACTCTAAAAGAATTTATAATTTTATAGGGAAGAAAGATAAATTAATAATTATAATTGTGATAAAATTTACTGTAGAAATATACACAGGATGCCATAGATGCAAATAAAAGGAACACTTATAAAAAGAACAGAAAAAAAAAAAAAAAGAACAGAAAATGATTTCCTATTGAAATCCCTGAGTCTTGGAGGACCAGTTTAGAGAGGTGTAAATGGGTGATTTTATATGGGGGAGAAGCATGCTAAAAGGCCCTGAGGCAAATGAGCATGAGTTCTAGGTATCATACCTGGTTGGCTGTGACTGGATGCTAATTGTGTAGGGGGGAGGACTTAGGGATAGTGATGAAAGATTATGCTAAAGAGGTAAGAGCCACATCTTGAAGGAGCCCTTGTATGCCATGATGAGTGTTTGGGTGTTTTGGGGTTTTTTTTTTAAGTTTTTTAAATTTATTTATTAGAGAGAGAGAGCACAAGCAGGGGGAGTGGCAGGCAGAGGGAGAGGGAGAAGCAGGCTCCTCGAAGAGTAGGGAGCCCAATGCGGGGCTCCATCCCAGGACCCCGGGATCATGACCTGAGCTGAAGGCAGTCTCTTAACCAACAGAGCCACCCAGGCACCCAGAGAGTTTGGGTTTTATCTTCAAGGTGATGGGGAGATACTGAAAGACAAGCCAATAACATGATCATATTTGCATTTTAAAAGGTCATTCTGGGGCGCCTGGGTGGCTCAGT